CCGAGAGAACCGGGACAACCAAAGAACTGGCACACTGGGGGAACTGGTATCCCGAGAGAACCGGGACAACGAAAGAACTGGCACACTGTAGGAACTGGTATCCCGAGAGAACGGGGACAACGAAAGAACTGGCACACTGGTGGAACTGGTGTCCTGAGAGAACCGGGGCAACGAAAGAATTGGCACACTGGGGGAACTGGTATCCCGAGAGAACCGGGACAACGAAAGAACTGGCACACTGGAGGAACTGGTATCCCGAGAGAACCGGGACAACGAAAGAACTGGCACACAGGGGGAACTGGTATCCCGAGAGAACGGGACAACGAAAGAACTGGCACACTGGGGGAACTGGTATCCCGAGAGAACCGGGACAACGAAAGAACTGGCACACTGGGGGAACTGGTATCCCGAGGAGAACCGGGACAACGAAAGAACTGGCACACTGGAGGAACTGGTATCCCGAGAGAACCGGGACAACGAAAGAACTGGCACACTGGGGAACTGGTATCCCGAGAGAACCGGGACAACGAAAGAACTGGCACACTGGGGGAACTGGTGTCCCGAGAGAACTGGGACAACGAAAGAACTGGCACACTGGAGGAACTGGTATCCCGAGAGAACCGGGGCAAAGAAAGAACTGGCACACTGGAGGGAACTGGTATCCCGAGAGAACCGGGACAACGAAAGAACTGGCACACAGGGGGAACTGGTATCCCGAGAGAACCGGGACAACGAAAGAACTGGCACACTGGGGGAACTGGTATCCCGAGAGAACCGGGACACAACGAAAGAACTGGCACACTGGGGGAACTGGTATCCCGAGAGAACCGGGACAACGAAAGAACTGGGCACTGGAGGAACTGGTATCCCGAGAGAACCGGGACAACGAAAGAACTGGCACACTGGGGAACTGGTATCCCGAGAGAACCGGGACAACGAAAGAACTGGCACACTGGGGGAACTGGTGTCCCGAGAGAACTGGGACAACGAAAGAACTGGCACACTGGGGAACTGGTATCCCGAGAGAACCGGGACAACAACGAAAGAACTGGCACACTGGGGGAACTGGTATCCCGAGAGAACGGGACAACGAAAGAACTGGCACACTGGGGGAACTGGTATCCCGAGAGAACCGGGGCAAAGAAAGAACTGGCACACTGGGGAAACTGGTATCCCGAGAGAACCGGGACAACGAAAGAACTGGCACACTGGGGGAACTGGTATCCCGAGAGAACCGGGACAACGAAAGAACTGGCACACTGGGGGAACTGGTATCCCGAGAGAACCGGGGCAAAGAAAGAACTGGCACACTGGGGAACTGGTGTCCCGAGAGAACTGGGACAATGAAAGAACTGGCACACTGGGGGAACTGGTATCCCGAGAGAACCGGGACAACGAAAGAACTGGCACACTGGGGGAACTGGTATCCCGAGAGAACCGGGACAACGAAAGAACTGGCACACTGGGGAACTGGTATCCCGAGAGAGAACCGGGACAACGAAAGAACTGGCACACTGGAGGAACTGGTATCCCGAGAGAACCGGGACAACGAAAGAACTGGCACACTGGAGGAACTGGTATCCCGAGAGAACCGGGGCAAAGAAAGAACTGGCACACTGGGGGAACTGGTATCCCGAGAGAACCGGGACAACGAAAGAACTGGCACACTGGGGGAACTGGTATCCCGAGAGAACCGGGACAACGAAAGAACTGGCACACTGGGGGAACTGGTATCCCGAGAGAACCGGGACAACCAAAGAACTGGCACACTGGGGGAACTGGTATCCCGAGAGAACCGGGACAACGAAAGAACTGGCACACTGGAGGAACTGGTATCCCGAGAGAACCGGGACAACGAAAGAACTGGCACACTGGAGGAACTGGTATCCCGAGAGAACCGGGACAACGAAAGAACTGGCACACTGGGGGAACTGGTGTCCCGAGAGAACGGGGCAAGGAAACAACTGGAACACTGGAGGAATTGGTATCCCGAGAGAACCGGGACAACGAAAGAACTGGCACACTGGAGGAATTGGTATCCCGAGAGAACCGGGGCGACGAAACAACTGGCACACTGGGGGAACTGGTATCCCGAAAGAACCGGGACAACGAAAGAACAACTGGCACACTGGGGGAACTGGTGTCCCGAGAGAACCGGGGCAAGGAAACAACTGGAACACTGGAGGAATTGGTATCCCGAGAGAACCGGGACAACGAAAGAACTGGCACACTGGAGGAATTGGTATCCCGAGAGAACCGGGGCGACGAAACAACTGGCACACTGGGGGAACTGGTATCCCGAGAGAACCGGGACAACGAAAGAACTGGCACACTGGTGGAACTGGTGTCCTGAGAGAACCGGGGCAACGAAAGAATTGGCACACTGGGGGAACTGGTATCCCGAGAGAACCGGGACAACGAAAGAACTGGCACACTGGAGGAACTGGTATCCCGAGAGAACCGGGACAACGAAAGAACTGGCACACAGGGGGAACTGGTATCCCGAGAGAACCGGGACAACGAAAGAACTGGCACACTGGGGGAACTGGTATCCCGAGAGAACCGGGACAACGAAAGAACTGGCACACTGGGGGAACTGGTATCCCGAGAGAACCGGGACAACCAAAGAACTGGCACACTGGGGGAACTGGTATCCCGAGAGAACCGGGACAACGAAAGAACTGGCACACTGGAGGAACTGGTATCCCGAGAGAACCGGGACAACGAAAGAACTGGCACACTGGAGGAACTGGTATCCCGAGAGAACCGGGGCAAAGAAAGAACTGGCACACTGGAGGAACTGGTATCCCGAGAGAACCGGGACAACGAAAGAACTGGCACACTGGGGGAACTGGTATCCCGAGAGAACCGGGACAACGAAAGAACTGGCACACTGGAGGAACTGGTGTCCCGAGAGAACCGGGGCAAGGAAACAACTGGAACACTGGAGGAATTGGTATCCCGAGAGAACCGGGACAACGAAAGAACTGGCACACTGGAGGAATTGGTATCCCGAGAGAACCGGGGGGCGACGAAACAACTGGCACACTGGGGGAACTGGTATCCCGAGAGAACCGGGACAACGAAAGAACTGGCACACTGGTGGAACTGGTGTCCTGAGAGAACCGGGGCAACGAAAGAATTGGCACACTGGGGGAACTGGTATCCCGAGAGAACCGGGACAACGAAAGAACTGGCACACTGGAGGAACTGGTATCCCGAGAGAACCGGGACAACGAAAGAACTGGCACACAGGGGGAACTGGTATCCCGAGAGAACTGGGACAACGAAAGAACTGGCACACTGGGGGAACTGGTATCCCGAGAGAACCGGGGACAACGAAAGAACTGGCACACTGGGGGAACTGGTATCCCGAGAGAACCGGGACAACGAAAGAACTGGCACACTGGAGGAACTGGTATCCCGAGAGAACCGGGACAACGAAAGAACTGGCACACTGGGGAACTGGTATCCCGAGAGAACCGGGACAACGAAAGAACTGGCACACTGGGGGAACTGGTGTCCCGAGAGAACTGGGACAACGAAAGAACTGGTACACTGGAGGAATTGGTATCCCGAGAGAACCGGGGCAACGAAAGAACTGGCACACTGGGGGAACTGGTATCCCGAGAGAACCGGGACAACGAAAGAACTGGCACACTGGGGAACTGGTATCCCGAGAGAACCGGGACAACGAAAGAACTGGCACACTGGGGGAACTGGTATCCCGAGAGAACCGGGACAACGAAAGAACTGGCACACTGGGGGAACTGGTATCCCGAGAGAACCGGGACAACGAAAGAACTGGCACACTGGGGGAACTGGTATCCCGAGAGAACCGGGACAACGAAAGAACTGGCACACTGGGGGAACTGGTATCCCGAGAGAACCGGGACAACGAAAGAACTGGCACACTGGGGAACTGGTATCCCGAGAGAACCGGGACAACGAAAGAACTGGCACACTGGGGAACTGGTATCCCGAGAGAACCGGGACAACGAAAGAACTGGCACACTGGGGGAACTGGTATCCCGAGAGAACCGGGACAACGAAAGAACTGGCACACTGGGGGAACTGGTATCCCGAGAGAACCGGGACAACGAAAGAACTGGCACACTGGGGAACTGGTATCCCGAGAAAACCGGGACAACGAAAGAACTGGCACACTGGAGGAACTGGTATCCCGAGAGAACCGGGACAACGAAAGAACTGGCACACTGGAGGAACTGGTATCCCGAGAGAACCGGGACAACGAAAGAACTGGCACACTGGAGGAACTGGTATCCCGAGAGAACCGGGACAACGAAAGAACTGGCACACTGGGGGAACTGGTATCCCGAGAGAACCGGGACAACGAAAGAACTGGCACACTGGGGGAACTGGTATCCCGAGAGAACCGGGACAACGAAAGAACTGGCACACTGGGGGAACTGGTATCCCGAGAGAACCGGGGACAACCAAAGAACTGGCACACTGGGGGAACTGGTATCCCGAGAGAACCGGGACAACGAAAGAACTGGCACACTGGAGGAACTGGTATCCCGAGAGAACCGGGACAACGAAAGAACTGGCACACTGGGGAACTGGTATCCCGAGAGAACCGGGGCAAAGAAAGAACTGGAACACTGGGGGAACTGGTGTCCCGAGAGAACCGGGACAACGAAAGAACTGGCACACTGGAGGGAACTGGCAAACCAAGAGACACGGAGAGAGGGAACCGGAGCACAGAGGGAACCGGGGCACAGAGGGAACCGGGGCACCGAGGGAATGGCCTGGAACAGACTCCCAGGGGCACCTTGAAAAAGAGAAAGTTACAGAAGTGACATAAAGTTGAGGAAGAGAAGTGGAGGAGGGAGGGGGAGGGGGAGAGGCACACAGGAGGAGGAGGAGGAGGAGGAGGAGGAGAGGGAGAAGAAAGGAAAATCATTCTACACTGGAGACTGAACAGGGAGAGACACAAAACTTCCCAGCTCCAGGCAGACATGAGACCGCACGCCGACATGAACGCCCTCAACCTGGATACCTATGGCCTGTCCCTCATCACTGCCAAAGAGGACATCCTCAATGACCGCATCTCCACCGACTGGTGAGACACTTTCTGGGAAGGGGGTGCCAGCTACAGTGGGCATGGGGAAGAGTGCCAGATGGGGGGGGGCAGGGATGGAGAGGGGCACAGAGCAGGGGTAGGATTTAGGATGGGCTGGGATGGGGGTAAAGGAAGGGGGGTGCAAGTTCTGGAATGAGGATAGAAAGTTCTGCAGGACTGCACTGCATACTAATGAGGAGACTGTGTCAGAGGAGAAGAAGGGGGCATCACCAGGGGCCACCTGTATTTACCCGTCGCTGGCTCCTGGTCTCTGTGTCCTACACCAAACTTCCCGAATTCTTCCCCGGCCTCAGACATGCCTGACAATCCCAGAGCCCACCTCTTCCAGGGCCCATGGGTACCCAAGAACCTGGAGGTCCTGGAGAAGGATGGTGAAGGGGAATTCACGAAGTTCAGGATGGATGTCTCCTTGGGCCAAGGAGGACACTAAGACTAGTAATAAGATCCAAATCAGCTGAAGCAGACAGTTCCACCCGATGCCACCATAGAGGCAAGAAATATACAAGAAGGGGGTCAGAGGAAATGATTCCCACCCCCGAAATAAGGACCCTTCCAGAACGAGGGCGAAATAAGGACCCTTCCAAAACGAGAGGGTGAAATAAGGACCCTTCAAAACGAGAAATAAGGACGAGGGCGAAATAAGGACCCTTCCAAAACGAGGGCGAAATAAGGACCCTTCCAAAACGAGGGCGAAATAAGGACCCTTCCAAAACGAGGGCGAAATAAGGACCCTTCCAAAACGAGGGCGGACCCTTCCGAAAAATAAGGACCCTTCCAAAACGAGGGCGAAATAAGGACCCTTCCAAAACGAGGGCGAAATAAGGACCCTTCCAAAACGAGGGCGAAATAAGGACCCTTCCAGAACGAGGGCGAAATAAGGACCCTTCCAGAACGAGGGCGAAATAAGAAATAAGGACCCTTCCAGAACGAGGGCGACCCTTCCGAAGGGCGAAATAAGGACCCTTCCAGAACGAGGGCGGCGACCCTTCCAGAACGAGGGCGAAATAAGGACCCTTCCAGAACGAGGGCGAAATAAGGACCCTTCCAGAACGAGGGCAGCAAATATTTGTGGTATGGATCCCAGGATTACCAATATACAAAGTATCTGGATTATTTCCTCCAAAATAGAGGGATTACCTACTTTTCAAGGTGATCTGGTGGATGACTTACCTAATCTATGACATCAGCATTATTATATCCATCTCATTATTATATACATCACAGGACACCCTACACCCTAACCCTGACTGTGATTGGCCGTAATAATGATGAGGTCATGGATTATGTCAGTCATCGGCCAGATCACCTTCAAAAGCACTTAGTAGCTCTATTATCGTACAAATCCTCGGGGTATTTATAAACTTGTGTTTCTGTGTCAATGGTACCTAAAAAAAAGAGGACCTACACCAAGGGGCAGATGACCCACACCAAGGGGTAGATGGCCCATACCAAGGGGTAGATGGCCCATACCAAGGGGAAGATGCCCATACCAAGGCATAGATGGCCCATACCAAGGGGTAGATGACCCATACCAAGACATAGATGGCCCATACCAAGGGGTAGATGGCCCATACCAAGGGGTAGATGACCCATACCAAGGGGTAGTAGAAGATGACCCATACCAAGGGGTAGATGACCCATACCAAGGGGTAGATGACCCATACCAAGGGTAGATGACCCATACCAAGGCGTAGATGACCCATACCAAGGGGTAGATGACCCACACCAAGGGAAGATGACCCATACCAAGGGGTAGATGGCCCATACCAAGGGGGTAGATGACCCATACCAAGGGGTAGATGACCCATACCAAGGGGTAGATGACCCATACCAAGGCGTAGATGACCCATACCAAGGGGTAGATGACCCACACCAACGGGTAGATGACCCATACCAAGGCGTAGATGGCCCATACCAAGGCGTAGATGACCCATACCAAGGGGTAGATGACCCATACCAAGGGGTAGATGACCCATACCAAGGGGAAGATGACCGATACCAAGGGGTAGATGACCCATACCAAGGGGCAGATGACCCACACCAAGGGGTAGATGACCCACACACCAAGGGGTAGATGACCCACACCAAGGGGTAGATGACCTATACCAAGGGGAAGATAACCCATGTCATGGGGTAGGTGATACCTGATATTAGATGACCCACACCAAGGGATGCCTGGTATTGGATGACCCACACATCAAGGGGTGCCTGGGATTGGATGACCCTCACCAAGGGGTGCCTGGTATTGGATGACCCTCACCAAGGGGTGCCTGGTATTGGATGACCCTCATCAAGGGGTGCCTGGTATTGGATGACCCTCATCAAGGGGTGCCTGGGATTGGATGACCCTCACCAAGGGGTGCCTGGTATTGGATGACCCTCATCAAGGGGTGCCTGGTATTGGATGACCCTCACCAAGGGGTGCCTGGTATTGGATGACCCTCACCAAGGGGTGCCTGGGATTGGATGACCCTCACCAAGGGGTGCCTGGTATTGGATGACCCTCACCAAGGGGTGCCTGGGATTGTGATGACCCTCACCAAGGGGTGCCTGGGATTGGATGACCCTCACCAAGGGTGCCTGGGATTGGATGACCCTCACCAAGGGGTGCCTGGGATTGGATGACCCTCACCAAGGGGTGCCTGGGATTGGATGACCCTCACCAAGGGGTGCCTGGGTATTGGATGACCCTCACCAAGGGGTGCCTGGTATTGGATGACCCTCACCAAGGGGTGCCTGGATTGGGATTGGATGAAAACCCTCACCAAGGGAAGGCCTGGGATTGGATGACCCTCACCAAGGGGTGCCTGGTATTGGATGACCCTCACCAAGGGGTGCCTGGGATTGGGACGATGACCCTCACCAAGGGGTGCCTGGTATTGGATGTCCACCAAGGGGTGCCTGGTATTGGATGACCCTCACCAAGGGGTGCCTGGGATTGGATGACCCTCACCAAGGGGTGCCTGGGATTGGATGACCCTCACCAAGGGGTGCCTGGTATTGGATGACCCTCACCGGGGGGGGGGGGCCTGGTATTGGATGACCCTCACCAAGGGGTGCCTGGGATTGGATGACCCTCACCAAGGGGTGCCTGGTATTGGATGACCCATATAACCAATCTCCGTGTGACATGAAAACATTTTCCTGGAATCACCGGAAGGCTCTGATGATCCTCATGAAATGGGGTGTCATGTGGTGATGGTCGGGGGGGGAGGACAGAGGACGATGATGATGTCACCATACACCAATATATATATATATGAATGGGGTGTCATGTGGTGATGGTCGGGGGGGGGAGGACGGAGGACGATGATGATGTCACCATACACCAATATATATATGAATGGGGTGTCATGTGGTGATGGTCGGGGGGGGGGGGGGGAGGACGATGATGATGTCACCATACACCAATATATATATATGAATGGGGTGTCATGTGGTGATGGTCGGGGGGGGGGGGGAGGAGGAGGACGATGATGATGTCACCATACACACCATATATATATATATATATGAATGGTGTGTCATGAGGTGATGGTCGGGGGGGAGGACGGAGGACGATGATGATGTCACCATACACCAATATATATATATATATATGAATGGGGTGTCATGTGGTGATGGGTCGGGCGGGGGGGGGGGAGGACGGAGGACGATGATGATGTCACCATACACCAATATATATATATATATGAATGGGGTGTCATGTGGTGATGGTCGGGGGGGGGGGGGGAGGAACGGAGGACGATGATGATGTCACCATACACCACATATATATATATATATATATGAATGTGTGTCATGTGGTGATGGTCGGGGGGGGAGGGGAGGACGGAGGACGATGATGATGTCACCATACACCAATATATATATATATAAATGAATGGTGTGTCAGAGGTGATGGTCGGGGGGGGAGGGGAGGACGGAGGACGATGATGATGTCACCATACACCATATATATATATATATGAATGGTGTGTCATGAGGTGATGGTGTCGGGGGGGAGGGAGGACGGAGGACGATGATCTAGATGTCACCATACACCAATATATATATATCATTCACATGAACACGCCCCCCACACCATATTCATCCTCCATGTGGAGGGGGAGGGGCACTGACAGCGCACATCCCGACATGATTTCCCAGCAGAGGCTGTCAGGTCCGATGTCACTGCGATGCGCCTGTCTGCAGGATGGCTGATAACTGCTGTACAAATGTCTCTAGCACTCTCTTGTGACGTGGGAGCAGACTCTCCATCTTCTGGAAAATGACAGCTGTCTCTAGCACTCTCCTACAACAATACAAATATCACTCAGTCTCCTGTAACATGGCAGTGGTCTCTAGCAGTCTCCTGTGACATGGTGGTAGTCTCTAGCAGTCTCCTGTGACATAGCAGTGGTCTCTAGCAGTCTCCTCCTGTGACATAGCAGTGGTCTCTAGCAGTCTCCTGTGACATGGCAGTAGTCCCTAGCAGTCTCATGTGACATAGCAGTGGTCCCTAGCAGTCTCCTGTGACATGGCGGTAGTCCCTAGCAGTCTCCTGTGACATGGCGGTAGTCTCTAGCAGTCTCCTGTTACATGGCGATAGTCTCTAGCATTCTGTGACATGGCGGTTGTCTCTAGCAGTCTCCTGTAACGTGGCATTTGCTCCTAGCAGTCTCCCGTTACATTGGCAGCAGTCTCTAGCAGTCTCCTGTAACATTGCAGTAGTCTCTAGCAGTCTCCTGTGACATGGCGGTAGTCTCTAGCAGTCTCCTGTGACATGGCAATAATCTCTAGCAGTCTCCTGTGACATGGCGGTAGTCTCTAGCAGTCTCCTGTGACATGGCGGTGGTCTCTAGCAGTCTCTGTAACATGGCAGTAATCTCTAGCAGTCTCCTGTGACATGGCAGTAATCTCTAGCAGTCTCCTGTGACATGGCAGTAATCTCTAGCAGTCTCCTGTGACATGGTGATAATCTCTAGCAGTCTCCTGTG